CATTATAATTTACTATTACTTACTATTATTTACTACTTCCTACTCACTATTAGTTACTTTTTACTATTACTTACTATTATTTACTATTTCCTACTCACTATTAGTTACTATTTACTATTACTTACTATTATTTACTATTATGTACTATTTCCTACTCACTATTAGTTACTATTTACTATTACTTACTATTATTTACTATTATGTACTATTTCCTACTCACTATTAGTTACTATTTACTATTACTTACTATTATTTACTATTTCCTATTAATTGCAATAATTTACTATTTACTATTACTTACTATTACTTACTATTTCTTATTTACTATTAGTTACAATTTACTATTATTTACTATTTCTTATTTACTATTAGTTACTAATTATTATTTCTTACTATTATTTAATATTTAATATTTGCTATTTATTTTTTTGGCTCAATTTTTGAATTTTATAGGCTCAGATTTTTAGCATTTATTATTAAATATAAAACGTTTATATTTAATCCTGTTTTGAGCAGTTTTTTTAAAAAATTTTGATCTCATTTAAAGTAGAGATTCTATTTAATTATTTCGAGTTACCATTTGTTGCGAGTGGAAATAAAAAAAAATTAATAATATTATAAATTAAAAGTTAACCGATGAATAATGACAGTAATTAAGTACAACTATTTGAAAAATAATGTCGAAAGAAGATATACACGTGAGTTATAATTTCAAAATTAATACTTGTGATAATTATATTTGAATAAAAAATAAATTGTTAAATGTCTGTTTAACCGTGTATTTAATATGTTAACAACATTTAGAGAAACATAAATTTCTTGACAGCTCTGAAATTTTTTATACTATATATATATATATATATATATATATATATATATATATATAAAACTATTATTAGAGAGTGCTTTTATATGAGTAGACATTTTCTGAAACAAGTATAAGTTACAATTAGTTACTCATATAAGGAAGCTCACCACGAGGGCTCGTCGATCCGGTTTAGGGTGTCGCGGTTCGCTGATCATCGTGGGTTGCCTCTGCTTCCTGTCAGTGCGCGCGATTATTCCCACTTTCTCGTGTTTTGTCTTTAAGGAAATAATTTCTGGCAAATAATTTTTTTTTCGTTTTTGCTTTATATTGTTTACTCAATGAATCTCCTCATCATAATCATCTTCTATCAAAAAAAAAAAAAAAAAAAAATTTGTAAAAGAGAAATCTTCACGTACTGAATGATAATCATTTGCATAATCGTGTAATCGTGCTGATGATCATGATTGTGTTTTGCATATTTGCGTATAATACAATATGAAATGCAAAAAAAAAAAAAAAATTAACTTTTGGCTTCAATTATTATGTAGCATTAATTTAAAAAAAAAAACCATATACTCATACTAAAAATCAAATTCTGTCTTAAAAAAACATTTTTTTTAATGACAGAATTTGATTTTTTTTTTACGAATTTATATTGAAAAATTATTAAAGGAAAATTAAAAATAATTACTTAATTATTGAAAATTTTATTATTTACGGTTATTTTTCACTTATATTTTGCATATTATAACGGATTTTATATTTGAAGAGTCACGCGATTGTCTGACGGGGTAATACCTTTTGTAAATGATCAAATTTTGGTTTCCGCAGCGTTTGCGTGACTTTATACTTTATATATTTATATGTTTATAGAAGCCACATTGCCGCAACAATGCAGTAAATAATTTGTATCGTATTTTTTGTGTACACTACTGAGAGAACAAAATTCCTCATATTTTTTTTTAATTTTTTTTTTTTTTTTTTTTTTTGAATAAATTTTTATTAACGTTTTTAATGTAAACTTTTGTTTAGCTATTGACGAATAACTGAATATATTGAATTAATGGCCTTATGATTCAGAATACTGATTTATGTAATGGTCCTGATGATACTTTTTTGAAGGCATATACCGTTTTATTCCTTTACATAAAATACATTTTTAAAAAATATCACAATTTACATTTCTTTTGATATTTTTTTTCGTATTGTATTAATTTTATTTATTGTTTTATTGAAATATTATTTTATTTCATATAGTTTTGCCTAAGTAGCACGAAATATTATACCTTAATATCACAGTAATATTATATGAAAGATTTGTAACATTACTGTAACATTACTGTAACATTACTATAATATTACTGTAACATTACTATAATATTACTGTAACATTACTATAACATTACTATAATATTACTGTAACATTACTGTAATATTACTGTAATGTTACTGTAACATTATTGTAATGTTACTGTAACATTATTGTAATATTACTGTAACATTACTGTAATATTAAAATGTCCGCTTCAAGGTAATGTTACATGTAATATTACAGTGATATTGCAGTAATATTACAGTAATATTATACGTCATATTAAAGAAATATTACAATGTAATATTAAGAGATATTTTGTTCTATGAAAACTATCACTCCAGTGGGAATCGAACTCCGAACCCAACGCACACGAGTCGAAAGCCTTAACCAACAAACCAACCTGACTTGCAGTAATTTAATATTTTTTGTTAAGCATAAATAACTGAATTTAGTTATTTATTTTTATTACTATTATTTTCCAAATTATTTAAATAATTATTTTAAAAAAAATATATATATTTTTCAATTAAAGTTTATTCGTTTAAAAAAATTTATTCTAAAATTTATTTATTTATTTTTTTATAATCTTTAAACATATTTATGGAAAAATTCATGTTGAAAACATATTATTTTAAGTAATTTATTTATAATAAACATTTAAAAATTGTTCATTTGCTTTAGATAAATTTAGAAATTAATATATATATATATATATATATATATATATATATATATATATATATATATATTATATTGTTTTCACTATAATAACTTCTAAAACAATATATATATTATATTTTTTTGAATTATTTATAATTTTTCTCGTAAACGTCATATTAGAAAGTATATGGAAATTCCTAATGATGAATATATGGTTCAGGTTATTCACTTGTAATAATAATGCTTTTTCCTTTACCATGGGAAAAAAACCACAATGTATAGAGTTGATAGCTCATTTTACGAGCGTATGGTGTCTTTAAAAGTAAATCAAATCACTATAAAATATTTTAATTTTCGTCTGTTGAAAGTGCAAAAATTATTAATAGAATTCAAAAAGGAAAATTTAAATGCACAAGGTAATCGTAAATCACGCGCTTATTATCATAAAAGAAAAATTTGATATGTAGAGATCTTTTTTTATATCATATTTTTTTTAAAATCGATGATTTTTGTAATATTAATAATTTGTTTATTTTTTTTTTACTTTTTTTTTATAATAAATTATGATAAAATTAGAATTTTGTAAAAATTATTTTTTTTTTAAATTTTGCAACTTTTTGTGGCAATAATTTTGGAGTAATTGTTTTTGCAAAACAAATATTTAAACAATTTGTTATAATTAAATAAACAAAATATGATTTTGTACAAAAATAAATAGCCTCATTTCATTCTACGTGAAAAATTAGTACAAAAACATGTGTAGCATGATTTATTTGAAAAAATTTATTAATTGTTTATAACAAATTGTTTAAATAATTATTTTGCAAAGAAATATTTAGAGTCAAAAATAATTTCAGAGCTCATATTAGGATGTAAATAGTAATTTTTTGATATTTACTATACCAATGACCTTGAACGAGTATAAGTACTTTTTAATTGTTTATAACATTTATTAACAATATTTATTACAATATAATTTTTTTTAAAAAATCAAGTAATGCATGTTCTCGTAGTAATTTTTCATGTAGAATCTAAAAGCTCTATTATTTTGTTAAACAAATCATAATTTGTTAAATTGTTTATAACAAATTGTTTAAATAATTATTTTCTAAAAAGCTTTTAACGTCAAAATTTATTGTTACGGCTCTTGCTAGGATTGAAATGGGTTATTTAATTATATATGCTTGTCTTTATGTATTTTTAATTAATTAAATAATTCATTACCAATTAAAAAGTTTTTGTTTTTTTTTTAAATAAATTATTTTAAAAGAATATAAATATAAGATGGAAAAATTTAAGAGTATTTTGTTGTCATAAACAGAAGGTAGCAGTTTTAATATTCAAAAAGTAAAAAATAAATCTATAAGTCAAAGTAGCTGTGTGGTTAAAGTACACGCCTCACGCTCCAAGGGTCCTGGGTTCGATTCCCCATGCGTGTAGGATTTTTCAAAATTATTCAAAGTGTTTTAATACTGTATATGTATAATAATCCTTAATGGAAAATAAAAATAAAAAAATATAAAAAAATATAAATAAATAAAAATAAAAATGAATAAATATAAATAAAAATAAATATAAATAAATGAAAATAAATAAAAATAAATAAAAATATAAATATAAATAAATGAAAATAAATAAAAATAAATAAAAATAAATAAATATAAATAAATAAAAATAAAAAATATAAATAAATGAAAATAAATAAAAATAAAAAAATATAAATAAATAAAAATAAAAATGAATAAATATATAAAAATAAAAAATATAAATAAATAAATATAAATAAATAAAAATAAAAAATATAAATAAAAATAAAAAAATAATTATAAAAATAAATATAATTAAATAACAATCTCAAAACAGAGCGATTTAAGGGAAAACTGACTAGTTTCTGATAAGTTTCAACCTAACTAAAAGATTTTCTGGATCCATACCTTAGACTGTATAGGAAATTTATTATCGAAAGAAGGAAGTAATCGGCGGCGTTTACTTACACACAGGCAAAATAGGAAGGCCGCACTTGTCAGCAATAAAATTCACTTGGCGCGCAAAGGTTCTGAGAAAGTAGGCGAGTTAGTAAAAGAGCAGGGTGGCGATAGTCCTCGTCGTCGTTGTGATGGCGGATCCTCTGGCAGGTGGGGGCAAAACCCAACCAGGAGTGAAACACCTGGATGACTTCCTGCCAGCATGAGATTCAGTCTTGTTCAGTCTTCGGTGAAGAACACTATAAACAAAAATCGTGTGAGTTACTTTCTCAAAAACGAGAGAGAGAGAGAGAGAGACAGAGAGAAACGTGATCAATATTTTTCAATAATCAAATAAAAATTTTTAGTACAAAAATTAATAATATTTAAAAAAAATAAATAAATTTTTTCCTTTTTTGCAAAATGTTGGACGATCCAGTCTCGGGATGACCGTTTATCGGTCAAGTGTTTTTCGGTAAAAAAAAACTATATAATTAAAAAAAAAAAAAATTAAAAAAAGTGCGTGGGTGACAAAAAAGGACGGGGTAGTTTTTGTGCTATAAAATTGATTTTGAGTGTTGACGAAATAATGGGTTTACAAGGAATCAGAACTCTGAGTTTTATTCTCCTTCTTCATCTCACAATTCAAGGTGCGTGTAGTTGGTTTTTTTTTAAATATTAAATTTTTTTTGGAGTTGACTCATTAGTACCGTTAATAAAAATCTGATCTAGTTGGGTAAAATGTGATGTGGATATATATATATAAATATATATATTTAAGGAGTGTGACAGTTATATTGATGATTTTTCAATTTAAATATTAGCTTGGATACGAGCGATCAAAGTGGTTTTTCTAGTCCTCGTATATATTAAAATGATTATAATTTATAAATGTGAATCGTAATTCAGCGTTTCATTAATTAAACTCTTAATATCATTAATTAACATTTAATTAAAGAAAAACACACATGGGACTATAATTTATAAATTAGTTGAAAAAAATTGTTACTAAAAATAAGTGTAACATTAAATAAATAAATAAATAAATAAAAATATGGCTAGAAATGCAAAATTAAAAAAAAATATTAAATTATCTTTTTAACTCAATAAATTTTTAATTTAATAATTAGTTAACTTAATAAATTAATAAATTAACAATTAGTTAACTAAATAAATTAATAATTTAATAATTAGTTAAATTAACAATTTAATAAATAATTAAATGAATAAATTAATAATTAGTCAAACTAATAAATTACAAGTTTAATAATTAGTTAACTAAATAAATTAATAATTTAATAATTAGTTAAATTAATAATTTAATAATTAATTAAATTAATAAATTAATAATTAGTCAAACTAATAAATTTCTAGTTTAATAATTAGTTGACTTAATAAATTAATAATTAGTTAACTAAATAAATTAATAATTTAATTAGTTAAATTAATAATTTAATAATTATTGCAAGTAATTGCAACTAATTTAAAAATAAAGTAAATCAATCCAGAAAATTTATATTGGAGAACATTTTTTTTCTAATGAAAAAAATTTATTTATTTAATTTAATTAAAATTAATAATTTATTTAAATTATTTAATTAAAATTAATAATTTATTTAAATTATTTAATATCAAAAAAATTTTTTTTGTGATAGAAAAGTAAACATTTGTTTTTTATTAATTGATAAATAATTTTCCTGTGAGGTTGAACATTTTACGAAACATCCGTTTATTTTATTTAACAATTGAATTTAATTGAACATTGTATATAACATCATTGTAAATATCTATTTCCTTTATTTTGTTTATTGATATATTATATATAGTCAATTTGTTCGGAGAAACTTTTATTTAAATTCAAACATTATTAAGGAAGCTAGTCAATTTGCTATTTAGAAAAAAAAATTACAATAATATTAATATTTATTAATTATAAACAATTGCACAATTATTAATTGCAATATCAAAAGATTCTTCTAATAAAATTAAATATCAGTTTTAGTGTTATTAAATTAATTTTCAATATAATTAATCAAAATAAATATTTTTTATTATTGTTACTATTATTATTATTATATTTTTATCATATTTTTTTAAATATTTTTTATTTTTTTACTTAACAAAAATGTTATTATAAAAGTGTAGGGTCAAAACGCTCTTTTTGAATTCATAATTAATTTTATTAAATTAAAAATTAATTTCATTTTTAATAAAATTAATAATTAATTTCATTTTTAATAAAATTAATAATTAATTTCATTTTCAATATAACTAATAATTAATTACATTTTTAAATAAAACTAATAATTAATTTCATTTTTAATAAAATTAATAAATAATAATATTTATAAAATTAAATAAAATTTAACCGGAAAGTAAAGTTTATTCAGTCGCATACGTAATATAACGTTACTTTTCGTTTCAAGAATCATTGAGATTAATATACTCGAAAAATATGAGAACATTTTTTTTCCAAAAATAATATAATTTATTTAATTTTCTTTTTTTATTGTTAATTACTTTGTAAACAAAAAAAAATATATATATAAACTTTTCTAGAAGATTCTCATCTCTTTGAATTTCATACTCGAAGGGCAAAATGTTTTATGAGAGAAAGGAAATAAAGTTGTAGGTCAGACACGATGCGGTTCTAACTATGAACTTCAACGGAACCTAATAATCAGGCTTCTTTCGTATTATGATAATTTTATCAGTAGGAGTTATTTGCAATTTTCGACAAATTAATTTTTTTTTGCACACATATATATATATATATATATAAAACTATCTATATTTGATTTCTATATGAGATAAATGTAATATCAACGATCAGATTTTATTACATATTATTATATATATTTTTATTTTATTTTATTTATGATTATTATTTTTTAAATTATTATTATTATCATTATTATTGTTTTTGTTGTTGTTCTGTTGTTGTTAAATTTTTTTTTGGACATAATAGGAAAATAGAAATTGAACATATATATATATATAATAAATAAATAAATAATAGTGTCTTACATTCAAAAGGGATAATTGAAACGAAAAACCTTACTTTTCTCTATAGTTGTCAGCTTTCCCAGTACCGGTTTAATTGAGTAACTTCATCTGGAATGGTGTTAAATTACACTGAACACTCGGTTGTCAGTTATATTCTTTCTGCGCTCCACTTACAATTTTGTCAATCATCTTTATCGCTTTTTATTGAGTAAGAAGCACAATTAAGAATAGAAGAAAAATTATAAGACACTGTTTTATTATATTTCGGTAATATTATATCTGAAATTTTTTACACTTTTGAAAAAAAAAACTATAAATTTTAGGCTTCATTAAAAAAAAAAAAAAATTTTTTTTTTTTATTTTAATATATTTTTTTTACCATTGACATGAAAAAGTGTCTTTTTTGTGCCTATTTTAGGCAGATAAAGTAGCAATTTTTAAGGCAGTTTGGGCCAATTGCCTAAAAAAGACTTTTAAATGATTAAAATTTTATTAATAACAGTTAATAATTATATTTTTATTATAATATTTGCTATAATTATTATTGTTATTATAATTTGTTATAATAATTATTATTGTTATACATGGAAAAAATTTTTTATCTAGAACAGAGATATGTTTCTTTAGAATAGCGAAAAATTTCGTTGTTTTAGTGAAACATATCGCTGTTCCTGTGAAACTTATCGCTGTTTCAGGTGAATATTTTTTTCCGTGTATAATATTTGTTATAATTATTATTGTTATTGTAATATTTGTTATAAATATTATTATTATTATAATATTTGTTATAATAATAATAATAATAATTATTATTATTGTTATAATAATAATAATTGTTATTATTATTATTATTGTAAAGTAATTTTTTACAAATTGTCAAAAAAAAAAAAAAATTTTTTACATTCTTATATAATATAGGGAAAATTATCTATTCTCTTTTAAATTATAATTTTTATAAAAAAATTTCAATTTAAATTAAAGAAAAATTTTTCTTTCATAATACAATTTTTTAATTATAAATCATAGAAATAAATAAATATTTGAATATTTTGTCGCTTGACAAAAAGTCACTGAAGCAAAAATTAAGTGACAGCATCTCACTTGGAAAATAAATGATTAATAATCATTTATTATTATTATTATGAACGACTTATTTTTTTTTTATATTTCATTAGAAACAAAATATAAAGACGTTATATGAGTAATTATGAAAAAAACAGGTCTCGATATCAATTTCTCTTATGATGATAATAATTAGTGAAGCATGAGATGATTATAACTTTTACAAAAAAAAAAAAGAAAAACAATAAGTGCAAATATTCTACTTTTTTATTTAAAAAAAAAAAAATTCCTTATATTTAGAGTGACAACGTATTGCGGCCTTGCTCTTATTTTGTCAAGGCAATAATTTATATTTATATATTAAAAATGTCAAATCTAATTAATTCCACGTCTTATTTTATTAAAAACAAAATTTTTTTTCTATTTTAAGTGAAAATTTTAATGTTATGTTTTAATACACATATAATTATATGTATTTGACATTAGAGAATATTTATTACACAGAATAATATGAAACTTTTTTTTACATTTATTTTTCAAAATTATGTCATTTTATTTATTTATTTTATTTTTAATACATATACGGGCTTACAAATAGAAAAAAACGCAAATTAAAAAAATACTAAATTTTCTTTAAAAAAAAAAAATCGATCGTAAAGATTAATTAGTTATTATTTTAAGGGCAAATTTAAATTTTCCAATTTCATAAATTCTTTTCAATTTTTTAATTTTTGTTTAAAATTTATTTTTTGTTTTTTTTACTGTAAATTATATATTTTTTATATTTATTTTATTATATTTTTCATTTATTTATTATTTATTATTTATTATTTTATTATTTATTTCATTATTTATTTTTTTATTTTATTATTTATATATATATTATTTTTAAATATTTACTTTCTGCAATTATTATTATTGTTTTTCCCATTAAATAATGAGAATACAAAAAAAAAAAAATGAAATCTAGAATGAAATAATAATTTAAAAAAAAAAAATAAGTTTCGCGATGTTTCATTATATATATTATTTGAGAATATACTAGAAAGTAGTGGAAGTTATTATATAGCGGAATATTTGGTTGATCTTATGAATTAACATGGACCGAACACAAATTCTTGACCCACGCATGAAAGTTGAATTGAATTTCTCGAATTTAGTACCGAGTGTGTGTGTGTGAGTCAGTCGCTTTTGACCCACTAACCGAAGAGAATCCTCACAAAGAGGGAAACTGGTATTACTCGGCAATTGTAATACTTTAAAAATCAACTTTTTAAATTTCCGTTACAACTCCAAATTCTTTTTTTTTTTTTTTTAATATTTTCAACAATTTAATTTATGTATTTTTATAATTTTTTTTTTGCTTTTCTATTTATTTATTTATTATTATTATTATACTTATTATTAGTATTATTATTATTATATTATTATATTAGTATTATTATTTATTATTAAATGACTAAATGTATATTCTTTAGTTAAGAGAAACATTCTTTGTTTCAATATTGTATCAGAAAAAAAAATCATTGAAACTATTTGAAAAACATTTCTTTAATTCAAAGAAACATTTATTTGAACTATA